CACACACACACACACACACACACACACACACACACACACACACGTTATCATAATGAGCATTACAACCCCCAACCATTGCACGGGCTGAGCATTGAGCTTTTCAGTCATTTCTAGGCATTTCTCTGAGAAGCTGTGTGACTGCTCCTTTGTCACCTGACCGGATGTGAAACCATAAAAGGACAGTCGGTAGTGAGGCTGTCTTAAAGAGCCAGCTCCTTATCACAACACTCTAATGCTGTAGCATTAAAGCATGTAGGGGGGGGAAAAAACAAGTTTATAGGCCCCTGTTTATGTATTATTCCACACTCTCGTTATAATTACAAAATGCAAGTACCTAATAAATGCAGCATCGCAGTTAATGCTTTCACAGTTTAACCTTTGTAAAATTGTGAATGAGCAGGTGAAGCTGAACATAAAAGGCAAAGGATGAGAGATATCAAGACAGAAAGCCATTTAAACTGAGGCAAATGGAAAATCAGTTTTGCGCTGAAAGGCAAAATAACTTACCAAGAAACCACCAAGATACTCTCCCAGCATTTCTGATGCAGAAAACTAAAGCTACACAGCAAAGAATCCTATTAATAGGTCTTAGTGGCAAAGAACAGCTGCTTCACCACACACACACACACCAAACCCAGCACCTCCAACTGATGGAATAATAAGAAAGAGAGGCATACACACAGAGGGAAGCAGAAATAGAGGGTAATGAGTGAGATGTGAAGAGAAAGGAGTGAGAGATTATCAGAGCTGCACCGCTGAGAAATGGCGTTAGTGTAGATTTTGTACATATATAAAGAGACAGAAGTAGAAAGATAAAGAGCTATAAAAAGGGGTGAGAGGAGGAGGTTAGGAGACTAGCAAGAAACCGACAGGAAGGTGAAAGCATTTGGAAAAATGTGATGAAGGTGCTGCAGGTCCATGACAGATGCCATAGCAGAGGAGAAAGGAAGCTAAGGTGCCCTGTGTGTGGGCAGAAATGCGATGACTAGAGGGGGCATTACTGAAGCATGGTGCTGAACAGAAGGGGGAGTAAAAATAGAGAGATGGCGAGAAAACAACAAAGTGCTTATGTGTCTGTGAGTGCAGGGGAATGCTAAACTGTAATTGCCCATTCACCTTGTCACAGAGTGCAGTGCACCTGAAAACGGTGTGCTTGCTGAGTGAGCATCATCGCAAGATGTGCTCAGTCTGTGTGTGTGTGTGTGTGTGTGTGCGTGTGCGTGTGTGTGTGTGTGTGCGTGTGCGTGTGCGTGGTGTGAAAGCTGAACAGAAAGAGAGAGGAAATAAAGACACGAATTAAAAGCGGAATGAAAAAGACAGCATGAAAAACAGAGAAGCGAGAGGAGAGATAGATAGAAAGAGAGTCAGAGCAGTCTGTAGGGATGCAGGCGGGGGAGGAATGTGGTTTCCATGGTAACCCGGGGAAGGCTGAGCTCTGGGTGTCCGTTCCAGTTCTGCACTGCACCGGCCCTCGCCTCTCAGCCGCCTTGCTCTCCCCCAACCACATCTTTCTCTCTACGCCCCCTCCCAGCCCCACCGCCCCCTCAACCTCCCCTCTCTCTTTCCTTCGCTCCCTCCCATTCCCTGCGCTTCTTCGACTCCCTCACCTCCTTCCCTCGTGCGACGGAGGGAGGATCAAACACGCACACAACCTGTGCTCTCACTGGATTCTTATGCAGACATTATCACAGAAGCACAGTGAACCCATATGCTTACAGCCTGCATCCCCCCACCCCAGCCCACTCCAAGCCCCTTACCCCCCGATCCTCACGCCTACACCTTCACCGCCCCCTCACTGCATTAGATCTGGGCTCAGCTGAG